GATGTGTGGCCATCAGTAGTCGTGTCATTTGGATGGTTGGGCTCGTCATTAGCATTGGCTAAAGGGATGACTAATACATACGACGACTCTTCTGGCGCATCACTGGTTGAAGACGACGCCTAAGGATACAAAATGACAAATATTTAGGAATTAAAATTCAATTTACAAATATAGACATCAAATGAAATGAAATATAGATATACTTCGCCTTCTGGTGACACCTGAGGCTCTGTGGGCGTCATAAGAGGCGGCGAGTAAGGAGGCGGGGGTTCGTTGTACGGCATAATCGGATGATTAAGCGCTTCGCTATAGAGCGGAGGTTTAGGTATTTGACAAATGCTTTGCATTATGTCATCGTTTTCGTACTGACTGTACGCCAACTCTAAGTCTATCGGATCCAACGGTTCAAACATCTCATTCGTCGCCTAAAGTAGTCATACATTTAAGACACAAATAAACGATTAGTTTAGGAAATGAGACATAAAAGGGAGCTATAAATACAAATAATTTGTTTTCCAATAAAAGTAATCGGATTTTGATTTGAATAAAACTCAAATAAAAGGATCTCAACATAAAGTAATAGAGAAATCGCAAAATAATTACATTTTCATAAATACAATCAGAGTTTTGCTGTCCATTAGAGCCAAATGAGTGCGGATTTTGCGGCGAAGACCTGACAACGAGTAGCGATCGTCTCATATGAACCCTATATATGGCGACAATAAGGATGGCCACGAAGAAGAAGACAGCGACGGCACAGCTGGCGATCGTATAGACCGTCGATCGGATCAAATTATCCTTAAAAGCTATGTCTGTAACCGGTCTTATGGTTGCTATCATTAAGAGAATGAGAAAAATAACTCAAATGTTTCTTCTTATCAATAAATCAATAGAAATCATATAAGAATTGTCCGAATATTTGTCTCCAACAAAGTGTTTCAATGTTTCAGTGAACCAATCGATAAATTTTTATGTATTTCTGTGTCTAATTTAATGTATCCTTACATCAAACGCATTTTGTAGCCAACTTTCAGATAAATCTGATTGTTTTGGCCATTGTAATTAAGTTAAGATCAAATGAATTTTTACTCAATTTTTATCAAAACTACTCGAAGGGAGAGTTAATTAGATTTGAAGAATTTTATGAGAGATTATTGATGTGGAGTCGAGTCGAGACATGAATTCAATAAATTTGCGGAATTTATTGATAGAAATATTTGTACACAAAAAACATTCAATTTTTAATAAAATATTGAAGTTTTCGATGAATTCTTGTATTATTCAAGACATATCTCAAGAATATTTGTGTGAAGCGATCAAAAGTGCAGATATTTTCCGAATATTGAAATCCCGATAAATTTTTTTCCAATTTTCAAAATATGATTCTTTGAATCATTTATTTGGGACTCAATTTCCTGTTTCTCTCAACAGATTATAAACTCGCATACAACTATTCCTAGCTTAAATAATAAATATTTTGAAAACAAAACGAAAAAATTCATAAAGCCTTCCGATGTGTTGGGAAATACATTATAAGCATTATATTGAAAATAAGTTGTTTATATTATATACATTTATAACATAAATCCTCGTATTTTACGATTCAAATGCAATATTTTGCACTAAACAATAAAAACACTTTTTTGACAATAAAATAAAATCGATAATAAAATCCATGAGTAGTAAAGAATCTGAAATACATATGTAAAATGAGTCTAACATTTGCCTGCAGTAGAGTAAAACAGTATAAAATTGCTGTATTGTATACATTACTTAATAAAAAAGTCAAAAATTTTTAATTCAAGTGATGTATTATATTATATTTAATGAAAAATAGGCTGATTTGAACGGTTAACTAACTTTTCATAGGAATACGTGTCAGAAATCCTAATGAATAAAGCGATCGATATTTCACTTAAAAAGTATAGTCATGTTTGAGATTTATGCTCAAAGTTTGCACAGTTTTTGCTCAGAAAAGAGAGTAAGAATATGTTTACAATGAAATGAAATTTAAAATTCAAGCACTAAAATAATTCATAAATTATTTGCTTTCATAATAGAATAAATGAGATTTTTGGGAATATTCATACAAATGAGAGAATTTAATGTTAAAAACTCATTGTTTGGATTCTCTCTCATAACCGACTTATGATTAATTGAATTCTTCGATAATTTTGTTATCATTTCTTCAGAGAACCAAAAATCGATGAATTATTTAAGAATTAATGACTCAATCATTCATTGTATGAATTATTTAATAAAAAAATTCTTTAAAGCCATGAAATATTGGTTCAGAATTTATCAAAAAAGTGACGGTTTTTGCAGAATATTGAATATAATTGAAAGTGTTTTGGTCACTAATGATCTCAAATTCAGTTCATTTTATACTCATTTATAAAAGCGATTGAAAGCTCGGGTTTTGAGTTCAACTAAAACCTTATTTTTGTTCATTGAGTTTGTGAAAGAAGAACTCAATTCCTTTAATGGACTTCAATGTGAAATATAGTAAAAAGAAAATCAATTCTTCAAAAATTCAGTCTTTTTGTGGAAAAAATCGTTAAATTTTATAACAATTTTTATCGACACGACTAATATTTAGGCGAACATTCAATTCAATTCAATTCACTGTCTATTAATGATAGCCTAACACTCAATAAAGTCTTCATTAAAGTGTTGTGTAATTGAATGCAATTAGAAATCAGTCATCTATTATGCAACTAATGAATGGAAAGGTATGATAGCGAGTGATATATATTGTATGCCTAACCCTTTTAGAGAAGGCCTGTATAGCCTAGCCATACATCACAACAAAGGCGAAGGGGTGGCAATAAATTGGTTTATTGTGCTAAACAACCGATAATTAATGGCAGTCTTCTCAAGAGGTGCGGCCATCGCTTTCATGACTAGAAATCTCATGTTATGTTCGCGACTATTATTACTAAACGCTTTCACCGGTAATAAACATGTCGTCAAAACAATTTGCAGTCATTTTCTCTCATTCTTCCAATTCTAAGATATTATAACTCATTTGTTCCACATATGAACGAAACGGTATGGGATGGGATGGGAAGGCCCAGGGATATGACACATCTCAAAATGTAATGGTAATGAGAAATCTGAATTTTTAATTCATGAAAAGTGCTCAAAGAATAGAATAACTATTTCAATACAATTCTTTCTCAATCATAAATTGTTTAATTGTATCATTATATATATATTTTCATTTGAATTTCGTACAAATTTATTTAACACTTACCATAATTAATCTAGATTTATACATAATGACACTGATACTCATTATTTATCTTGGTCAAGTTTATTTGAATTGTCTGTAGAAATACTTAATCCTAACAAATGATTTGAATGATAATTTAAATTAAAATTAATTTTAAATCACATTCCTGTTAGAGATGGAATAAATGAGTGCTGAGAAAAAGCAGTATAATTACAACTTATAATTAAATTATGTTTAGCATTAGATTCTGAACTCTATTTAGAACTTAAGAAAACGCTTTCAGAGGGTTTTGTCGAAAGTTTTATGTTAACAATTGTGTCGATTCGGACTAATATTTTATTAATGTTACATAAAATGATTCGATGGCTTTGAGATACATATCGTAATGAATAACAAATGATTGATATATTTATTACCGGTTTCATCGAACAAATGCTTATTTACAGAGAAATTAACAATCGTTTGAGAAAAATACACATTAATTACAGCTGTGTTTTTGGGTTTAAAAATTTATGACCAAAAAAATAGTTTTGCAATTGTTTTAATGTCTGTTTTGTCGCAAAAATTGCAAACTTCTTGTGACCAAAAATAATGCACGCAATCAGTCATCAGTTAATTTGAGTGATTGATTCAGTGTTTATATAGAGTTTTGTAAACTAATTATAGTTTTCAAGAATATTTCTATTTTATATACAGTACGGTATTCTGATAATCACTTCACAACTCGATTTGTGACAAAATGTTTGAGGTTTTTGTAAAATAAAGTATTCAATTTCTAAAATGAGAGTCAAATATATGGCAATCAATGGTTGACTAAAAACTAAAATACTTTGGAATATACGGTAAAATCTAAAATCTATGAAAATTAGTAAATGTTTTCAAAACACTGAACGAGACTACTGTTTGATAACTGTATATTTATAGGAGATAATCCAATTGATCTCAAAATGTAACTTTCAGAGCATTTGTCAAATTCATGCTATGATTGACTCAATTCTGTGGTAATTCTCAATAATTCTCAAAATAATACTATTTTGTGGAAAACTTTGAATTCAATGATACTGTATATAAGTTATAATCCTTTGGTCTCTAATATACTATAATATATAGATTTGTCATTCATTGAAATATATCTAAAAAGATTTGAATAGAAAATCTCATGGATTCGTCTCATTGGGATGTGTGGCCATCAGTAGTCGTGTCATTTGGATGGTTGGGCTCGTCATTAGCATTGGCTAAAGGGATGACTAATACATACGACGACTCTTCTGGCGCATCACTGGTTGAAGACGACGCCTAAGGAT